CAAACATTTAATCATTTAGCTCTTTCGAAATAAGTGAAAAAAAGAACTGCAACAAATTGCTTTCCTGTTTGATCTTTACATAATATTGACAAGATATTTTTGAAAAGTAAGAACCAAAATGTGAAAAAGAAGAAGAATACAAAATAATTATATAGCATATAAAATGTAAGATTTTTAGTTTCTATTACGCAATAAAATACAAATATTTTGTTACTGAATCCACCAAAATTCCCTGACTTTTCCATGACTTTTGGAAAATTTAACATATTCCCTGACTTTTCCTTGACTTTTTAGCATAGTTTAGAATTTCCCTGACTTTTCCAGGTTTTCCAAGTTGCTGGCCACCCTGTTTATTTAGGCATTGACGCAGAAGAGTGAACAAACATCCACTGACTTAAATAGTTAGAACATGCAGAGAGTGTACATACATTGACTGATTTATTATAGATAAAGCAAACAAAGAGTAACCCAATATCAACTGAGGGTTTGGTTTGGTGGGTAAGTAGGTCAGCATATATATATAAATTAGGGCAGCGTTACTGCCCCCTTCCCCAAATAAATTTAGCAGAAATATTGCGGAATATCACCATTTTTTAGTCAAAAAAACAATATTTGCTGTAAAAAAAATGTAAAAAATAAAAACAACAAAAAAAAGGTCCTCAAATTTTAATTTAGGCGGTGCCCAAATACAGTAAACTCTATCAAAAACTGGTTATAACTGCCATGGTATTGATATGTTGTTTTATATGATGATTAGGTTTACTTCCGATCATATATTTCCTTTATTTTGCATAACTTCCAACATTAATACGAATAACTAGAAATAATGAACATAACGATTGCTTTATTTGAAAAAATATATTTTAAAACAATATAAAGTTTTAAATAGGCTCTCAAAAATTTTGTTACAAACTTTCAGTAAATTTATAATGCACTAAAACACACAAGCTTTTGAAAGAAATGGAGAAACAATCATAAGTGCAGACTATTTCAATCGGGGTAGTGAAAACAACCAAAAAGTTTTATATTTGAATATTAGTATTATTGACTTTTTATTTTTTTAGATATAAAACTTATTAAAATTTTTTTTTTTTACAAATAAATAGAAATTAGTTTTCTTGCTTTCCTGTGCATTGATTAAAACAGTTAAATTCAGCAAAAATATTTGAAAAACAAATTCTAAAATTGTCAACGTTTCTAGCACAAATAATAAAGTATTTTCTTAATATACTGGCTGACAAGAGCTGTGTATAAATTGTATATCAAAAAAATGTTTATATTTTTGTTATATTCTCTTTTTTTTTTACTTTGGTTATAATCTATCTGTATATTTTCTTAGTTCCGCAGTAAAATAATTAATTATATATTACTTTTTTAACAAAATTTTTTTTTTCTTAATTTTTAATTTTTTTTTTTTAGTTTTTTTTAATTTAGATTTTCTATTTGGTATAGTATTCATTTCCTTTCTTAGAGTTTTATTCTCTGTATTTACTTACTGTTTTATTTTGCCACAAATTCTTAAAACGCTTACTATAAAAAAAAAAACATGGTCAAGTTGTCTAAAAAAATTACTTTTTATGTGGAGGAACAAGTCTTGTGACCACACATACTTCCTGGGAAGGTTTGTAAGATGTTATTTAAAGTTTGGAATAATTAATGTTTTTTCATTTTTTTGATAAAATCAATCATTATAACAAAACAAACAAAAAGAATTAAAATATAAAAATAAAATGTGGTGTTAATATAAAATAAAATTTAACTTGTACTATATTTTTAGCTGATATTCTTTTGTTTTATATTTTATTTTTTATTTTTCAAATTTTTAAATATTTTTGTTATTGTTTGTTATGAGGAGTTGTCTGAATAAATATTCTTGCGCTTGCAAGATGATAAAGAAGAATTATTTTATTATATCTCTTTTACAATTTCTTTTAAGAATTTTTTTTTTAATAAGAAATTAATTTGAACAAAACACTTTAGTCTTCTAAAATTTTCTTATTCAAAAACACTTGTGAATAAAATTTGAAATTAAAAAAAAATTGAAAAACTTAAAAGAATTTTAATGCTCAATAATTTAATTGTAGCGGCATAATTTTATTGCAGCGGTGTACATAGTACACAATGCCACCATCATTCCTGAAAGTAACAATATCCGATTTAGATCAAGAAACAATAAATTATAAAAAATGTTTCTATTATTTTTTTGCTTTTCTTATTCATCATAACGTGTGAAACTTAAACATAAAAAGTGATGATAATATTTCAATTTTTTAATTAGATTTATTTACTTTGTTTTATTTTAAATTATGTTTTATGTTATTAATGTTATAAAACTGTATAAAACGGCGTCACGAAGTTAATGAACATTACCACAAGCTCTTTATATTGTCGAAACAACTTTGCAGTCTGTTTTATTGTTTTTTACAAAAACAATTTAATACTCTTTAAAAATAACATGTGTTTTATCATCAACATGAACATATTAAATTGTTTTCTATAAATATTTAAAGCGGTTTAAATATTGTAATATTTGCGTTTTTACTTTGATAAATTTTTTTTTTCACAATCAGATTTTTTTGCGTTAATTTAAGCCCAGATATATGTAAATATATATATATATATATATATATATATATATATATATATATATATATATATATATATATATATATATATATAAATGTATAAATACATATATATAGGCTCAATATAATTATTTAGAAAGTCCCGGACAAAATGTCCAAACAAAACTAGTTTGGGCCAGACAGTGTACGATCAAATTTTTTTAAAATAATTCTTACGGTTTTACGGAACCAAGTTTTGCAATCAAAATCTTGGTCATGTTATTCAGTTTAGTTATTCGTTAACGTTAACGTTAGTTATTCAAAATATTTCATCGCAGACTTTAATATTTACAATGTAACTGATAACCCTTACTTTTTTTAATTCTTTTCAACTTGACAAAGGCTGTTTTGAAGTTTTTACAATTTAAATACAATTTTAAAAAATATTTACATTACAAATAACTTTTAATCGTTGATCTTTTTTAAAGTTTTTATTTAACACAAAGGCTTTAAATACAATAAAAAACCAACTATAATGATTGAATAATTTTAACACATTATGTGTAAATTAAATTTTATATTTAATTTTTTTTAAGTAGGTATGTATTTTTTATGATAAATTTAAACATTTGAAACTATTTCTAAAAAAGTTTCAAATGTTTTATTTATCATAAAAAGTCTTTCTAAACATCTTTTAAAAGATGATTTTTTTAATTACTTTAAATTATGAATAAGTTAAATTAAATCTTCCCATGATTTAATTGCTTTTTGTTTCTATTTTGACTTACTAATCAAAGCATAAATTGATTACTATTATAAATTACTATTATAAATTACTATATGATGCAGTAGTGGTATAGTGGTAAAAGCGCTCGCTTTGTAAGCGAGAGGTTTGGAGTTCGACTCCCATCACATCCCTAGAAGTACCGCGCTCAACTTAATTTCTCCGCGTAGCGGCCTTGCTTGTCAAGGTTCATGTTTCGGAGTTAAAGAGTTGAGAGAGGGTTGTACCACGATTTACATAAAAAAAAAAAAAAAAATGAGTAGCCTTCTCGACTGTGGTGGCCCCCTCAGGCCTTAGGGAGGTGAATAATTAAAAAAAAAAAAAAAATTTACAAAGGCCAAGTTATTTTTTAAACATTCTTTGTTGCAATTTTTTTTTTAAATGTTTATTTAACTAAAAAATATTATATTTCTTCTTTTCAATAAGTTAATTTCATTTTTCAATAAATAAAAATTAAATAAAATTTGTTCATTTAATAAACAATCAATAGAATTAATTTGTAAGTTTTGCATAACATTAATAAAACATTTCAAAAGATATGGTTTAAAGTAATTTTTTTCAAACACAATTAAAAACGTATTTAAAAGTAATTTTAGCTTTGAGTTTTTTGAATTTTATTTTAAAGTTTTTAATTAATTTTTAATATACTTTATTTTTAATTATATATATATATATATATATATATATATATATATATATATATATATATATATATATATATATATATATATATATATATATATATATATTTATATATTTATATATATATATATATATATATATATATATATATATATATATATATATATATATATATATATTTAGATATTTTTATATATTTATATATTAATATATATATATACATTTATTTATTTATATATATATATATTTAGTTATATATATATATATATATATATATATATATATATATATATATATATATATATATATATATATATATATATATATATATATATATATATATATATATATACAATTATATTTTTGACATTTTCTTAATAAATAAACAGCCATATTAAACAAAAAAAGATAGAATAAAACAAAATTAAAATTAATTTCCTTTATATAAAAAATTAACTTAATGATTATATATCTTTTCAAGTAAGACATTGTATAAATAATTCCATTTGTGAGTTAGTAATTCTTTTAAATAAATAGAAACTTTTATACAGATTTATAAATCCAACAAAACAGCAAAAAAATATCAATTTATAAATATTAGAAAGCCTAAAGTTCAATATATATATATATATATATATATATATATATATATATATATATATATATATATATATATATATATATATATATATATATATATATATTCGTCACAAAATTACTTATTATTACAACTAACTTCCTGATTCGCTAACAACCCTACTTTTTTTTTTTTTAAAGATAAAAATTACATTGAATTTAAGAAAAATTTAATTATTACATTATTAAAAAAAACAAGTTTTGATCATTTTCTTGAATATCCCTTGTCATAGCTTTAATAACATTATAAAGCTAACTTTTAAAAATAGTTTTGTATTTTGAACTACATTTAAATGCAATATAAATGCAACTTAATGCAATACAAACCTGCTAAGAACAGGTTTGTATTGCATTCATATTTTTATAACACTTACAGCAGAAGAAACATTGCGCCACACCTTATCATCTTTTTTTTGCAATAATGGTTTTGGTTTTTCTTCTTCTATAACTGCTGATATAGCATTTCCCTCTGTTTTATTGAGATATTCATCTGAACTAAATTTATGAGGTAAGCAATCTGAAAAAGTTCTTTTAAGATTAGAATCCTTTCCTCTTAAATTACAAAAGTCTTGTGAAACATCTGATGTAAGATTTTCTTTTGAATTGTAATTTAAAGCTTTGTTCCTTCTGTTTATTGGCTTGGGAACCAGCGGAAGTGGTGGCCTATTAACTAATACAGGAGTTGACGAGTATCGATCTTTAGAATGTTCAAAAGGTTGAAACTTGATATTTTGAAAAGAACTAGTTCTCAAAGTTTTTGGTATTTCTATTAGTGGGAAATCTATAAAGTCAGTATGAGTTTGATTTATAATATTTTTATTGTTATCCGTTGCAAAACAATTACATTTTTCTATAGTTATTTCATTAAATCCATCACTTTCAGATAAATCCTGCAATGATAATACAGAACAACACGTATTGTTAATGTCAGATTGTTTTTCATTATCTAACTTGTCTTCGTATGGAACAATATATGTTTCATTACAGTCTAAGCAACAAACGTCATTTTCAATATCTTTTTCTGTATTTTCGACAGTTATTGAGCAATCGTTAGCATTAAAAGCTTTTACTGGGGATTCATTTTCATAATCTGGAGGAAACAAAGTGTAACCACGTGAAAGTTTTAAAGAATTAAATTTTTTGGACTTTGGTTCTGCAACAGACTCGTTAGAGGACCACTGAACTATATTTATTTGAGATTTACTGTTGTTCTTTTTTTCATTTCTTTCTTTTATTCTACTTAAACTTGACCAACGTTTTATAACATTTTTTCTTTTATTATCGTTTGGTAAATTTTCACTTGGTAATTCAGTATTCGTCGTCACGTCTGCTTTGAAATAGTCAGCAAAATGAGCATTTTTTAAACGTCGAAATTTTTTACCTATTGAATTAAAGGCTGAGAAAATGTTGTTGCCGTGTTTCGTTAATGTCGGTCCGTGATCATATTCACCGTTTGATTTTTTTTCCATCATTATCGGTTATGCTAAAATTTAAAATTTATCTTAAAGTAAAATAACACAAAATTTTAAAAATATCTAAAATGGTTTTAAAAAAATGTCATACATAACATCTTGAATTTTATTTTTTGAAAATACTTAACAAAAGTAACAGCGGTGCGAAAACTATAGACTTTTAACTACAAACAAAGAATACATTAACAATAAAATAATTTCGGCTAAGCTCTTTATTAGTTAATAAATAACATCGCTCTGAGAGTAAGGAAGTTCATAAAAAAATATATCATAAATTTTACTAAAACATTTAATGTCTAACTTTAAAAAGAAAGGAAGTTGAAAATTTTAAATAAAAAGGGTCAGCTATAACTGACAATATAAAAAGTTCTCCGTAATTTTAAAAAATATTATTAAAAACTAATTACTTACTTTCAGAAGTTTTAACACTACATTATTTAATACCTTAAATAAAAAAAACTCTTTTTTAAGTCAAGAAGGAATCACATCGCTTAATACAAACTCATTTAAAACGATATAGAACAACAACTTTTTAAGGATTTGACGTAATAGTCTGTAAAAAAAAAAAAAATTATTTCCCCGGAAGAAAATAAATTTAAAACAATTACTAAGTAACAAAATAATTATTGTATATTTGTTATTGTCATAAAACTATCCATAGATATACTCATTAGTACTCTTTATTTTAATTTTTAATTACTTATTGTAAAATTAATAATCTATTGGTTATATTTCTAAATACTCAAAAATGCATTACATTTATGTTAAAATTGTGTGCAATAACCGTAAAGGAAATTAGGATCGTTGCCTCTGTCCAAAGTATTATTAGGAGTCTAATTTTTTTTAGTAAAAAAAAAAAGTTTTATATTACAAAAATTTTTTTTCATTTATATATATATATATATATATATATATATATATATATATATATATATATATATATATATATATATATATATATATATATATATATATATATATATATATATATATATATATATATATATATATATATATATATATATATATATATATATATATATATATACGTATGTATATATATATATATATATATATATATATATATATATATATATATATATATATATATATATATATATATATATATATATATATAACTTTTGGAAAATCCTCAACAACATTGTTAAAAATGGTAGTTCTAACACTCCATCTCTCATTTATGGATTGATCTTATTACCTCTCTCAAGGATGAGGCAGAACTAATTGCAAAAAATTTTCCTTATAATTCAAATCTCGGACGTTGTCCATTCCAATTAAATAGGTTAACCCATTTTAGACATTCAAATCACTCCAGCTTCCGTTGCTAAAATCATATCTCGATTAAACTCTTTTACGGCTTGTGGTCTAGGCAGCACTCCTGTCATAGTTTTAAAAAGTGTTCTCCAGAACTCTCTTTAATTCTCTTTAAACTACTTAATAAGTGCTTGACTGAGTCTTGTTTTCCTGCCTCCTTGAAAGTGGTTTTTATTGTTTTATTTTTCAAAAACTGCAGTGAACATTCTAAACCCTCCAATTATTGCCCAATCAGCCTTCTTTCTGTTATAAACGAGGTTTTTGAGTTTTTGATAAACAAATTTCTTGCATCTCATCTTAAGTTATATAACTTACTGACAATTAATACGGCTTTCAATCCTCTCGTCCTACGGCTGACCTGCTAGCTTCTGTGACTAAAAGATATCGTGCATTAGATTAAGGCGGAGAGGCTATGGCTATTGCTCTATTTGTCAAGTTTTTTTTCTACACTTTGGAGCTCTCTTCCATCTTCATGTTTTCCTGATTTATATAACCTTCAACTTTTTAAGTTTTCTGACTTGAATGTTATTGTATAGGAAAGGGGTGTGGGGTGCACATACTCCATTCTATAAGCCCATATTTTAATCTTAAATAGAGAGAGACAAACGAATATTTTTTTAATGCACGCAACTTTTTTTTTTAAATCAATGAACTTTGGTGCTTTAATTCATTTTTGTGATATTTATCAATTTTTATTTCATAGTTTGTTTTATTAAATTAGATATAAAATAGAAAAAATATAGAAAAGTTCTAATATAAATTACCTAGTAACAGGTCGCACAAAAATAAACTTTACGTACGCCAGTTTACACATTAACTATACGGATAGTTAGATATTGCTTAAATGTTATAGTTTTCTCTAGCTTTTGTTTGACCTTTTTACCAATAATTGTAATAATATGAAACTTATTTTGTTTGGCAATCAGTTTTCAATAGAGTTGTAAAGTAAATTGAGTGTAAATTGCAAAGATTAGGTAAACTAAAAATTTCTTTATCTTACGCCATTATGAAGCAAAGCAAGTTCGCATGATAAGTATTCAATTAAAGGCTATTATTGTAACGCTACATCGGACCAATATAATATCAATGAAATTATACAAATAGAAGTTTAAGGTAACGCTAATCTAGTAAAACATGTTCAGTGCCATCGTGCACAAAAGCTATTTTCACAAAAGCTGTTTTAAGCAGACTTTTGCACAATTATGCCAAGCATAGTATGTTTAGCTAAAACTAGGCTTATAATAAGTTTTTTCCATGATGGTATATAGTTATCAATGGTAGTTAGATGTAAAAATGTTCATACCGTCATGCTACATCTACTTTTATGAGTTTTTATGGTAAAGTAGGAATACAAGCCGCATTATATTTACTATGCATCTATATATGTCAACTATGCATCTATGTATACACATGTACAGATAGCAGTGTAAAATGATACTTTGCCTCCTATACTCATTGGAAGCATCTAATTTTAAGTTGTGTGAGAGATGACAAGTATTTTTTAAACGGACGTTCATGGGATAATATTTTACGCTAAAATGCTTTATGCACTAAATGCAAAAAAATGACTATTCCTAAAATAAACAAAAAGTAACAAATAAACCCTTCGGGCATTTGTTTTTGAAAAATGCGTTCTAAATGTCTTTTAAACGCCCTTTAAACGTTCTTTAGGTAAAAATGTTTACAAAACGTTTAAAAGACATTTAAAATTCATTAGAACGGAACTTTTAAAAACAGATGCGAGCTGGGAATGTATGTTTTTAATAATGCCAGTATTGAGCTTTTTTTATATATTTATAGAGTTAATACTCGGTAGTCTTGTAGTTTTCATCAGCAAGTTGTTTGTCTGAAATATTTTTTTACTTAAGTTTCTTTTGGAAGATTATTATATATTTAATAACTAAATAATGTTTCAACGGTTTATTTTCAAGAAAATTTATCAAAAATTTAAAGATTTTTTCTTTAAGTTCTGTTTTAATAATTATCCCATTTCAATCTTTCTAACCTTATTTCAGCATTTTTTTTGTTTTTATTTTAGATAACAGAAGAAATCTATTGTGCAAGGTAGCAGAAATGTAGCAAAACAACGGTAGCAAAAACGTAGCAAAACAATCGTACTGCAAAACCCACCAAAAGAGTTATCTTTTTTTGACGAAATAAAAAAACTTGTTACGAGATAAGACTAAGTAAAAATTTAAAACCCCATTTTTTTCGTTTGTTTTATTTGTTACATTTTTTATAAAAATGTAAAGCTAGATGCAAATGAGTACTTTTTTTAAATATTAATCTGAGGGTAAAATATATAAAAGGTTGAAAAAGATCCTCAAATATAGATTAGGACATATGAAAAGGATCAATTAATAAAAAATCTGATTAAACAGGGTAATGAACTTATCAAGCAGAGTGAGCATAAACTAAAAGAAGATAGTTTACTACTTCACACATGGATAAAATTATACATCTTCCTGTTAAACTTAACAGAGCATTTTGTCAAAAAATTCTTTTAATCTTTTGAAATAAAAAAGTTTAAAAACCAAACTTTTTCAGAATAAATGTTTTATTTCTAATAATATTTATTTCATATATGTATCATTAATGTATCAATATATAATATGTTGCAATATAGTTATTAAATATATAATAATCTTCCAAAAGAAACTTAAGTAAAAAAATATTTAAGATTTTGTTTAGTAAACATTTCTACGAAATATTCCAGTTGTTCAACATGCTGTAGTGGACAGTTGTTCAACTTGTATTGGACTAATTACTAATGAATTTAAATAGTTAAAAAAGTATTGTATAGTTTAAGTTATTTTATTTCTAAATTAAGACCAAATATCGCGCTAAACCTGTTGAAATAAATGAAAGGTAACCACGATATAAATAGTGAATACACTTAAGAACCTGGGTTACTCCGAGATCATAAAACCAAGAGAAGTCATAGAGATTATCTTGGAAATAAAATTTAAAAGTAGATTTATTTACTAATTAAAAAATACTTATTTACTTTGAATAAAAAAAATCAATTTCCGATTTGTTTAAAACATTTATAAATTTCCTGTAAATGGTTTTTCTTTTTAATTAAGTATTGTTTTCTGTATTTAATTTTTTTTTTTTTATCTTTTAAAAATATTTTGTTGAATACTGTTTGTTGTAGTAGTGTTAAAAAAACTGTTTGGCTGAAACATTTAAAGTTAAAATAAAAAAACTGTTTGGCTAAAAAATTTAAAGATTAAATAAAAAAATTTAAATAAGTTCTAATAAACAAAAACATTCGATTAGTTTCATTATTTATTTCATTTAGAAGAAAAATAAAAGATTTGCGGGCAATTGTAAAGACACATCAGCTAATATACTAAATATTTACTAAATAAATTTTTACCATCTAATATTTATGTTCAAATTTAATAAAAATACAATTCCAAATTTTTTTAACCCGTTATTTAAAATAAATATAATTAGATACTTTAAGAACCAAAATGACATATTTTATTATTTAAAAATTTACTTATTTATTATTAGTATTAGTCTTTGTTGTAACTGGTCGTATGTTTAACTTTTGTTTATTGAAATATAAAAGTGATTTTTCAATATTCTTGCCATAGTGTGTGACCATACATTTAGAAATAAATTGCGCAAGCCAGTCTTTAGTCCACTTAAAAGTTTAATCAATAAAAAGATAGCGGTGATGCACAGGAAAGCATTTCATTCAGTACTTTGATATCATCTACATACAATTAGCTATATGTAGATAATACCAAATCGTTTATAAATAGTTTAATCGTTTAGCAAATAGCTCGAACAAGAGTGGATTTTTACTGACCTAACAACGCAATACTGGTGATTTGCACCCTAGTAGACCAATTTTTGTCTAAAAAAATTTTTTGTTTTATTTCTTTTAAAAAGGCATAGATCCATTAAATTGCGAGACCGGATATTCCATAAGTTGTTAGTGTAACCAACAAATTTTACGTGGCACTCTGTCAAACGCCTTGACCAAATTCAAAAAAACAACATCAACAAGTTTAAGTTTCTCCAAGCTGATTGAAACATAATCTAGCGTTTCGAGTAGATTGGTTGAGAATGATTTCTTTGTATTACATTATTTCATGAACTACTTAAAAACACGGCCTTCTATTGCTTAAATCAGAAATAGATGGCTAGTTAAAAAAAAAG